GGTTCCGTCTGGCTGCGGGAGCCACTAGCTGTGAGCCCACCCGCGGGGGCTGCACTGGTTTCATCCGGCTGTGGGTCTGTCTGCCTGCGGGAGCTGCAGTGGTTCTGACCGGCTGTAGGTCTGCCCTTCCGTGGGAGGCCACTGCCTGTAGGGTCCTCCTGCCGTGGGCCCGTCGGGAACTGCAGGGGTTCCGTCCGTCTGCGGAACCACCAGCTTGTGGGCCTGTCCTGTCCGGCTGCGGGAGCCACGCTATGGGCCTGCTTGCCCGTGGGGGCTGCAGTGGTTCTGACCAGCTGTGGGAACCACCTGCTGTAGGCCTGCCCTTCCGTGGAGGCCACTGCCTGTAGGGTTCTCCTGCCGTGGGCCTGTCAGGAACTGCAGGGGTTCCGTCAGTCTGCGGAACCACCAGCTTGTGGGCCTGTCCTGTCCCTGCCTTGGACTTGTCTGTGGGAGACAGGGTGCCCCACACACGGGAGCTGCTGACTGTAGATCCAATCACGGGAGCCCGCCCGTGAGAAATACTGCTCGTATAAGGTTCACCTGAGCCTTGTCTGTGGGAGACAGGGTGCCCACACACGGGAGCTGTTGACCGTAGATGCAACCACGGGAGCCCGCCTGTGAGAAATACTGCTCGTATAAGGTTCACCTGAGTGGTCTGCCTGCTTGCGGGAGCCACAGTGGGCCGGTTCGCAAAAGCTGCAGGGGTTCTGTCCGCAGGAGCCACTGCCATAGGGCCCGCACACTTGTGGAAGCCACCGTGGGCCCGTCCGCGGTGTGCATAAGGCACGTCCTTGGTTCAGTTCCACGCCGAGGGTCAGGGCAGTAGCCTAAGAGGTGGGACGTGGTCCTGATGCCTGAGGAGGGGTTCCAGTGGGCTGGTGGTGGTGTCAAGGTTGTGCCGGCCACGCGTGGCCATCCATGCTGCGTTTGTTCACTCCAGGTTGTACCTCCAGTGCTGTAGGTGGTGATTTTTTCACGCAGAGTCCCAGCCCAAGTGTGGGGCTGCACGGAACTGAACCAGTCAGACCAGCACCTATTGGTGCCCCTCAGCCCACGGGAGCTGGGCTAGTGCTCTAGTAAGGACAGAGGAGCCGAGTGGGGGTCTGGTCCCAGAGCAGTGGACCTTCCCAGGAGATGAGGCTGGTGCCCTGGGTGGTGCTTGATGAGGGAGGACAGGTCCATGCACACGCGTGGGTGTCAGTCGTTGGGCTGGGCTTTACTGGTGCTCAATCTTGAGGTTGGGGCCGGCCCCGGGGCATTTATGTACACATACGCCTCTGCTGTTCTTTCCCGAGCCCGCATTGAACGTTTTTTCACGCAAAGTCCCAGCCCAGGTGTGGGGCTGCACGGAACTGAACCAGTCAGACCAGCACCTATTGGTGCCCCTCAGCCCACTGGAGCTGGGCTAGTGCTCTGCCAAGGACAGAGGAGCCGAGTGGGGGGTCTGGTCCCAGAACGCTCGACCTTCCCAGGAGATGAGGCTGGTGCCCTGGGTGGTGCTTGATGAGGGAGGACAGGTCCATGCACGCGCGTGGGTGTCGGTCGTTGGTCTGGGCTTTACTGGCGCTCAATCTTGAGGTTGGGGCCGGCCCGGGGCATTATGTACACATACGCCTCTCCTGTTCTTTTCCGAGCTGCGTTGAACCTGGAGAGGAAGGAGAACTCGCTTGCTCACACATGGGTGTGTCAGTCATTGGTCCGGACTTTTACTGGCACCTGTCTCGAGGTGGGGCCGGCCCGGGGCAGTGTGTGGGTGAAATGCTTCCACGGCCTTTTTGCGCAGACCCACAGAGCAATAGGTAAGGGCTGCAGGGCCCAAAGAGAGCGCCAAGGGCTGGAGGCGGCTAGTCCCGTGACCATTCCGGCTACATTCCCGCTCCCGGTGTTGGGACTGCTGTGCTTGCTGGAGACTGCCTGCTGTGTTGTGTAGCTTAACTTTCAACCCAAGTGGAGGACGTAACACCCTTGGCTTTGGGCTCCGTGAGTGCCGGCCATCGGATCAGGCTTGTCTGGGGCTTGCTGCCGAGGTGGGGGCTGGCCCAGCGTGTGTGTACTTCAAGCATGTGTAGGAGGCTGTGCTCTTACGGAAACCACTGGAAAGTATGGAATTCTCCCCCTGATCATCCAGAGACGGGCCAGAGGTAAGGGGTGGAGAGTGGGCCGAACGCCCAAGAGAGCTCAGGGGGCTGTGGCAATAGCAGGGTTGCTGCTGGGCCTCGGTGCTTATGTTTATTTACTTGGAAGTTGGTGCCTGCAGTGTGATGGGGTCTTTGCTTTAAACCTAATTCATGACCCAAGTGTGTGCTGGCCAAGAGGGCACCCACTGCATCCGCCAGTGCCTCTTCTCCTGGGAGGCAACCAAGGCTCTGTGAGGCAAAAAGGGAGTTAACCCCTACTCCAGGCACCCCCGCTAGAGTGGGGCTCGGTCTTGTGGACAGAAATGGACTGGCGTGAAGGAGAATTGGGTAGCGGGATCCTGTTTCTGGGAGACCGTATGCCCTGTGTGGTTCAGGCCTGTCACCAGCTTGCAGGGCCCGGAATCGGTCTTTTCTGCCCTCAGGGAGTCAAGGGCTTGCTCCCTGCAGTAAATTGCGAAACAAACGGCTCTCTGGGCGCGTAGGGCTTGGGGTTGAACTGATCTACCTCCCGGCTCTGCCTATGCTGCTGAGAGGCCCACATTGGGCCTGGCATTCATTCGAGTGCCAGGATGCTGACTGCGGTATTGCCCTCGTCTCTGCCACAGGTGTCTTCACCCTCTTCCCCGGGCTGCTGCCCACTCACGCGAGAGAAAAGCGTGAGGCCCGCGCACCAGCTTCTGCTTGCCATCACGGAAGGCTCCCGCAGAGGGTGGACCCCTTTGCTTGCTGTGCAGTCAACCGCGTCTTTCTCCCCGTTGCGGGCGGGCTTGAAGACACGCTACGAGGTCTTGGCCAGGTCTGGGCGCCAGGAGGACTGGGGCTGCAGCTCACACGCAGATGTCAGGGCAGTGGCCTATGGTCGCTTTTTTGTTTCCTCTCGAGGAAGAAGGAGGTTCCCGCAGAGGCCTTGGGGCTCTATTATTGACACACCCGGGCATTGGCGCCGTATCGATTTGCCTGGTATCGTACTTAGCAGGCTAAGGGGTGTCTCACCGCAACTTACCCAGAGTGTGGTCGCCTGGACCAGCAGCCACTGGTACCCACAGACACTGGGGCTTGGTGGGGAATTGGGCTGGGTGCTCCACACCCGGAGGGAGGCCTGCTCAGCAGAAGGTGCCTCAGTAGAATTTTTGAGTCCTCAGATGCAGACACGGACGGACAGGGCCCCGCATTTGATGGTTGAGAAGGGCCCCTGGTTGGGATGCCAGGTCTCCCTGGAGGGGAGGGCTGGCACACTTTGAAGGGAGCACGGAGTAGAAGGGCGGCCACACATGTCCCCCTCTGGGGGCCGCCTCCGTGGAAGCGTTAGTTTCCATCCTGGACCCAAACGGGACCTTTCCTGGGGTCAAACCAGCTCTGGTTTGCTGTTGCCAGGCCATGAGGGTTGACCAGATGGCTGTGAGTTGCTCAATGGTAGAAAAAGGGGTGAGGGGAGGGATCAGTGACCAGGCCACCACTCGAGGATGCCCGTGTGACCCGTGCTGAGGACTGGCCAACAGGCACAGTCATTTTTTTTATCGGAAATGGGCGTTTTGTACCACCAGGTTGGTAATAACCCTGTGGTGGGTGGCTGACCAGGTTGGTTCTATGGGTGGACCACTAGGCCTCAGGGTTTGACGACAACCTGACACCAGGCTCTGCCTGCAGGGGCTGCCTGAGTGGGTGCAGGAGGTGGTTGTAGCCCTTGGCCATGGTGCACAAAGGCGGTGAGTGTGGTTCTCATCCGTGTGATCCATGCCTTGGATAATGTGCCTGGCTGACCCCCACTTTGAGGCCCCTCCTTGGGCTGTCATGGGCTCCAGTGACCAAAGGTGGTGAGCGTTCTTGCCCAGTGGCTCTGTGATGCCCTTTGATGCTCAGGGTGGGCCTTGTGATCTCGCCTTGCAAAAGGCCCCCCCTGGGCTTTTGTTGACTCAGCTGAGTGCGCTTTCTGAGCTTGTGTTCCTGGGCTCTGCTGGGAGCTTCCCAGGCTGCTGCTCGTGGCTGTTGAGCTGGACCTAACGCGGTTGGGTGCTGTGCCCATTTCACCCTGCTGCTCCCTGCCTGGGAGAGGTGTGTGGAGGGCAGGGGTGTGGACCCTGTGGCCCTTGCTCTCTCCCTGCTCATCCTCATGGTGTTGGCGTTCAGCATTGAACCTCAGGGACCACTTGCTCCTTAGCTTGTCTCCCTCTGGTGTGGGAGCTTGGGCCCTGGATGATGCCCACGGGTGCTGCTCTCAGTTGTCACTCTAGTTCCTGTCCTGCTTTGAAACCTCTGGAAAAAGCTACCACTGTGGTTCCTGCTTGGTGGCTGAACCAGCTGCCCACAAAGCCCAAATCCTTTAAAAGCCAGTGGTGTGGCTAAGCTGTCTGTGCAAAGGCAGGAAGGGGTGAGTGTGGCTCTGACCTGGTGGCTTCAAGGCCCTGGGAACTGTAGTTGTGGATCACCTTTCAAGCCTGCTCCTCAGTGCTATTGTCCTGGCCTCTCTGGCCTGGTTCTTGTGGTGCTGGGGCCTGGGCCGTAATGTGTGATGGCTGTTCTTGCTGATGGGGTGCTTCTATGCTCATTTGGCCCTGCTTGCTTGGGATTTGCACTTGGTTACAAATACTTGTAACCCATACAAGTTACCCATACTTGCTTTGTTGCTGTGCCCAGCTGGTGGCTGTGGCTCACTGAAGCTTGCCCTATGGCTTTGCCCAAACTGCTTCTCTGTATTTGATGCTTTTATTATGTGGTTGCATTTCCTTGAGAAAGCACTTAATCTTCCATGTGCAGGGGACCAAGCCCCAGTGAGGGTTCCCCAGCCCTGCTGTGGGTGCTCTGGATGGGCCGGGTGGAAGCTGTGCCTGGGTGAGATGTGAAAGGTCTTAACCTGCAGCTGGTCCTTGTGGAGGGCAGCAGGGGGGATGAGCCCCCTGGTGCTTGGGTCCTTGCTTTTGTAAGCTGGGACTGGGGCCCAAGCCTCCAGTGTTTTGGTGGTGGCAACCCCACCAGCCAGGGGGGAGAAACCCATTGATTGGGCTGTGTGCTCCTCTGCAAGTAGGCTGCCTGTGTGCAGTTGCAGGGTGTTGTGCATGTTGGGTGTAAGCCCTGCCCTGGGAGCCATCTCAGTGTAGAGGTCAAGTGGGTGAGCCACAGTTGATGTAGGAGGCTTGACATGCCCAGGGAATCCCATGGCCAAGGTTGGCATGGGGGTTAGCTGTCTGCCCCTCAAGTTGGTGCATGGTTTACCAGTGAGCCCTCTTTGGAACGTTTGCAAGGGCTGCACCTTGGGCCCCTGCTTTGAGTCTCGATATCACCAGAGACAGGCCTTCAGGGGGCAGGGAGGCTTGTGTTTTGGATCACGTGAGACCAGCCCGTGAGGGTGAGATGGCCCTGAGTAGTGACCCAGGGTGTCACACCTGGTGCCGTCTGGCTGTGGGGGCCTTTGCGGGCCTGGGCCTACCCAGGCCTTCGCTGTGGGGGTGTGGGCCCTGCTCCCTCCTGGTGAGTGGTGTGTCCATGTTGTTGGAGGGACTTTGCCGCTGTCATCCCCGCTGCTCCTTTGCCCACTCAGGTGTAGCTATTGTGGTTGCCGTATATGGAATTTAATTTGCTTGTCCTAGCCCCCCGGCTTAGAGCGCAGTGGCTGTGTGGCCGGCCCCCTTGGGCTACATTGTGTGCTGCTGGGCGACCTTTCCTTTCCCTGCCCTTCTGAGCAAGGGGAGGTTCTGGTGGAGAAGCAACTACACCTCTAGGAAGTGTGGCAGCCCTGGGTGTAGGGGCTTGGGAGGAGGCGCACTGCGAGGGTAATGACCACAGTAGAAGGCGGCTGTGGAAAGAGAGGCCTTGTGCATAAAGACAGCAGCTTTAAAAACGTTTATACCTGGCAAAGTGTTCTGTGCAGATCTACAGAAACCCCGTCAACTGTGAGCCTCGGTAATCCTTGGTGGTGGCTTCACCATTTACAAGGAGGACGTCATTCGACGCAACCTATCACAGAGACTGTCCTAGCAGCAGCCAAGGGCTGTGAGAGGGGGCTGTTCCTCTAGGTCCCAGTGTTCTTGATTGGGTCAGGTGCCTCCTTCGGAGGTGGGGACCCGCTGTTGCCTGGTGGGTGCTGTGCAGGTGGAGGACAGGAGTGAGCCCCTTGGTCACTGTGAGAAAGGGTGCGTAAGGCAATTGAAGGGGATTGGGGTGAGGGCTGGGCTTGCTTCGTGTCGAGTGACACGGGCAAGGCTTTCTTAGCCTCATCCGCCAGCTGATGGGCCTCGGCGTCCAGGTCGCCACGTGCAGGCTCCTCCTCCTTCCCCAGACAAAGGGTTATAACCTGCAGTGACAGCAAAGAAAAGGGGCCCTTTATCCCGTCCACCCGGCTCTGAGCGTTTGGTCACCATGCTCTCCTCGTTTGGGACCTCCTCAATAAAATGCGTCTTGGGTATCTGACTTTGAGCAGGCTGCTAACTCCCAGGCCTTGTGAAGGGTTATTACCACTCTCTGCATGAGTTCTCCAAGCCTCCCACCTCCTTGCCCCTGGAGCCTTCCTAGAGAGGAAGGAGCAGAGCTTTGGGTGTGGGGTGGTCCTTACCACCCCCACGTAGGGGCTTCCTGTCTGCTGGCCGCTTGGGGAGGCTGGACGAAGTAGAAGGGCTGGGGTTGTCTTCTTCCTGTGTGGAGGGGAGAGGCAAGGCTCAAAGTGAGTATTATGTTCTACCTGACAGTTGGATGGGGGGCTCGCTGTCTCGTCGGGGGGGCCTCACCTGAGGCTTCCTGGCATGACCTCTGTAGCTTTTCCCCTCTTGCAGGCTGTCCCACATTTCAATCTTCCTTCTCCGTTTCTCTTCCTCAAGCTGAGGGGAATGAAGGAGGGGAGTGAGTGGGTGACTGTAAGACCACTCTGCCTTCAGGTACAAAGGCCTTGACAGGTTGGAGTGTAGGGGGAGTGAGTTAGAAGGGGGGTTGCACCTTGCTGGGGTCGACCAGATGTCCCAGCAAAAAAAATTAAAAAAAAAATTTGCAGGAAAGTGTCAAGCTCCCTCCAGTCAGGTAAAAATGCCCTGGGTTTAGAGGTCGACCAGTAGTCCCCAAGCAAACCCCCTACCCCAGTGCAGCTAGTGTGGGGGTTTCAGGGAGGTGCCAGCCAGGCCATGCAGAAGCATCCCACCGAATGGTCCCCGGTCCCCATTTATGCCAGGAACGTGCCTCAGGCAATGCCATCTGGGTAGGGACTGTCATTTGGCAGAAGAGCAGCAAAAGGTTCCAGAGGAGGGTTTGCATTTTTTTAAAAAAATTTTTTACTAGGGCGGGGTCCAGTGCGGCAACAGGCTGCGGTGGGCACAGGGGCGGGTTGCAGCCCATCCTCCGCAGCCCCCACTCCCACTGTGGAGCAATTGGGGGGGCGGCAGCTTACTGCCCCGATTGCCGATCATGGGCAGCAGCCGCCTCTTGCAAAAGACCCGCGCTGGCAGGCGGAACCCAGGTGGGGACCGGGGGCTGGTGCCCCTGCTCACCTGATCCCCCATCCCAATGCATAGGTTTTTGTGTGTGGTGTGCACTAGGCTTATAAATAAGGTTTGCAGCCAAGAGGCCAAATCCTCTCCTTGTGCGATTTACCACCTATAGGGGGGAAAGGTTATCTTTTTGCTTTTCCCTACTTCCCCTAGTGCCTGCCTGTGACATCACAGCCTGCCTTTGCTTTTCTAACCTATATGCTTAAAAAAATTAGTCACAGAAAGGTGCCAGTGGTAAATTTTAGGTTACCAGAGCGTGGGCAGTCTCATTCCGAGTTCCAGCCCGCACAGAAACAAAAGCCACCGGGACGACCCACTGGGCTGCTGCCCTCCAGGCTTCCTCGGAGTGCAGAGGGGGCCCAGAAACCTCTGGGCTGGAGCGGAGCAGTCCAGTCTGCGTTTACTTTTGTTGGGCCAGACTGGGTCACAGCTGGTCCTCCGTCCGTGGTTCTTCCTTTCCCCTCTCGTAGGGCCCCCAACAAATCTTTCAAAACGCCATCTCAGCCCTGCGCTTAGCCCATCACTGCTCGCCCTCTATCCCCTGAAGAGAGGCCCCAGCAGGCCGGGGCATGTGAGACAGGCAGCCTCAACTAGAATGTGTGTGCTCTGCTGCCATGACACCCTCCACACGCAGATGGTGGCTGAAATCCTGCGGCAAGAGCCACTAAGAAGCAAAAATGTAAGTACAAGACGTCCCCTAACAAATCGCACAAGGAGAGCGCTGCCCTCAGCTGACAAGATGCTGCCGAGTCCGTTCCCAGGACTCACCTCCAGAGTCCACACAATGACAGAGACGTGGGAGTACAAATGTGGGACCCCTCCGCATCTGTTTTGGCTGTTTGTGGGGGAGGCTGCCCCTCGGCACCGGAAACCTCCCGGAGATGCAGATTCCTGCCCCTTCCCCCCAACTCCAAATTCAGGGAGACCTGGGGAGGCCCAGCCTGAAAGGTAAGTGCTCTGACAGACACACTCGGCTGGACCTGGGTTTCCGGCGTGATCCCCAGTAGGGGGCGTGCAGGAGGCAACCAAAGTGAGATACCCAGTGCCGAGGTTGACCAGAACTCTAGAAGACAGCTGGCCATCACTGAAATTAGTCCAGGTCGACACCAGAAAGCGATGGAGAGCCTCAGGTACTTGGAAACAAGCCCTAGCTGGTTTGGCTCAGTGGACAGAGCGTTGACCTGGTCCCGGGTTCAATTCTGGTCAAGGGCACATACCCAGGCTGTGGGCTTGATCCCCAGTGGGGGGGGCGGGCATGCAATCAATGATTCTCTCTCATCATTGATGTTTCTATCCCCCCCATCCTCTCTGAAAGTCCTCTCTGAAAGCAATCTATACTAATAAAAGGGTAATATGCTAATTAGACCAGGAGACCTTCTGGACAAACTTCCAGACCTCCTTCCAGACCAAGCCGTGCCTGGGAGGGCCCATAGCAGAGCCCCACTGGGTGGGCAGAGCCTCCCTCTGTGCAGCATTGATCACAGAGCCATGGCAGGGTGGGCAGCGACTGATCATAGGGCAGGCAGGGCCTCCGTGGGTGGGGATTAATGGCGGAGCACAGGCCACGTGGGAAATGCCTATCTCTGCTCTGCCACTGATCCCAGAGCCCTGGCAGGGTGGGCAGGCAGGCAGGGTGAGGGCAATCAGGCTGCCGGGGGGGCAGCTGGGGGTGAGAAATGCTTTCAGGGGAAGGGAGAGATAGAAACATCAATGAGGATGAGGGAATCATTGATTGGCTGCCTCCTGCACCTTGGACAGAGCCCACAACCCAGGCATGTGCCCATGACCAGAATTGAACCTGGGACCCTTTGGTCTGCAGACTGAGGCTCTATCCACTGAGCCAAACCGGCCAGGGCAATAAAAATATTTAAAATAAAAAGGAAACAAAAAGTATACTTCCACTTTGGATACGGAGGTGTGATTACAGGAACCTTGCTAACTGTTGTCAGCTTAGAATAAAATCAACTAAGTGTAGTTTTTTTTTTAAAGACCCTGTGGCTGAGGGCGGAGCAGCCCTACCTGCCGGAGTTTCTCCTTGTGCCTTTCTACTTGGGCGTTTAGTTCCTCCTGCATTTTCAGGCGCGCGGCCGCCAAAGCCTCCTGCCGTCTCACAACGTCCTCGGGAGCTGTGAGGAGAGAAGAATGAAGGAAGGTAACGCACCTTGTGCACCACGGAAACTCTCCAGAGTCCACACAATTACAAAGACGTGGGAGTACAGATGTGGGACCCCTCCGCATCTGTTTTGGCTGTTTGGGGGGGAGGCTGCCCCTCGGCACCGGAAACCTCCCGGAGATGCAGATTCCTGCCCCTTCCCCCCAACTCCAAATTCAGGGAGACCTGGGGAGGCCCAGCCTGAAAGGTAAGTGCTCTGACAGACACACTCGGCTGGACCTGGGTTTCCGGCGTGATCCCCAGTAGGGGGCGTGCAGGAGGCAACCAAAGTGAGATACCCAGTGCCGAGGTTGACCAGAACTCTAGAAGACAGCTGGCCATCAGTGAAATTAGTCCAGGTCGACACCAGAAAGCGATGGAGAGCCTCAGGTACTTGGAAACAAGCCCTAGCTGGTTTGGCTCAGTGGACAGAGCGTTGACCTGTGGACTGAAGGGTCCCAGATTCGATTCCAGTCAAGGACACAAGCCTGGGTTGAGGTTCGATCTCCA